GCTTGACCGGCTGACAAAGAAAGATTTCCAGGGATGCTTCCAGGCTTGGCAGCGGCGCTGGGATCGTTGTGTTCACTCCCAGGGGAACTACTTCGAGGGTGATGGATGAATTTAATACCTGAGATAAGTGTACGGGTTTTTATAGGCGCAGTCTAGAAACTTTCCGATCGCACCTCGTATGTAGTCTGGGCCTACATGTATGAAGTGCACTTCAGTGTTTGTCGCACACGCAGTGCACAAAACATAGAACACGTTGCGGCAAATTTCTCTGTCTAGAAAATTTTCCACGTAAAATAAAAACGAAGATAATATGTAAAGAGACGAGGGAAAATTACGAATAAATCAAAGGAAAACATAAATAAATAATGAAAGAAAGGAACACGAAGAAGATTAGCAAATAACTCGGCGCTAAAGTTGGGCCAAACGAACTGCAGTTTTCCGAGACGCCCGATCCACTTCGCAGAAGACTGTAATTAACAGCCGAAAACCTGATTAGTCGGCAGCTCGCGGTAAATAATTCCAAATGAAACCTAACCTAACCTGCTCACGCCGCTGACGGATTTCGAGCGCGGAGTTAATTAAAGACGAGGGTGGTTCACACGACTGACGCCCTGCACTGTGGACCCTCTCGTCCTACTGATCCACTTTGTTCTCAGACGTAGCGGAGCGTGACGTCACTATAACACGACCTACCCTTCTATCGGACTTATTTTAGATTTACAAGATGGCTGCGATGATGACCGTGGTATGCCCGGGCTGTGACGACATTTGAATTTGTGATGACACTTCACCCTGAAGACGGAGGCAATATGTTCGTCCCTAAAGTTGGTAATCACCTACAAGACCATACCGTGGTCGACATTAATGTTGTATCTGAAGTTTATGCAGCAACACGCCATGAGGATGTATGGAGGGTTGGAGGTATAACTCAGCTCTTTCTAGACCTCGACATTGGATGCAGCTGAATGGTCAGATTCACGTTCCGTCCACTTTAACCACATGTAAGAAACCTTCTGTACCCATTGTACAGGATTCTAGGTGAGCTGCAGGGTCGATCTCGGCGAGGTAGTTAAGACCTTGTCGGAAATTGAACACTGACGGAGCAATGCTATCAGCAGTAGTGATGATGTTTGATGGCCCGCGGACTGTATCATTTGCCTCAACTGTTCCTATTTTTTTATGCTGAATAATCACTTAAGCTCATCTCGGGTTAATTAGAACTCGGGGAAGACCTTCTTAGAAGCAATCACGAGAAGAAAGATAACATATAAAGATTCAAGCGTAAATGTTGCATGATTAGCTACAAATCGCGTGGCTACAGTTGTTCTGTTCTAACCTGGTAGCATGTTTACCTGTATTTCCGCGTGCTCAAATATTTAACACAACGTATCAAATACTTCCACCACACTACACGGCGCTAAAATCAAAAAGACAGCCATCATCGGACTCACCGCCGTGAAAATCTCAAATCCTACTAAGACCAGATTAAATTCAGAGAATATTCACATATCAGTGTTTCAAAACAGTGGTACACAAAATGTTTAAAATACAATTACAACTGAATAACCAGCTGTGCCATCGTCAGGGATTAATCATTCATTACCGCTACTAAATTGGAATGTCATGTTACATTCTAAAAATCTAATTACGGTCTGGATCAAAGCATTGGGGTTCAGTGGTTCTGCATCTAAACTAATTAATAATCACAACAATTTAGTTCTTATGATGAAATGCTCTTCTGATACCTATTCAATATGTAATGTTATATATAATTTTCATTTAATACTATTTAATATTATACTTGAGGTTCCAATAAAATATGCACCACTACATTTTTAGCTGTAGTTTGTGATATTCTATGCGTGCCATCATTTCGGTCCGCTGTGAATGTAACACATTGCTAGGACTCAATATATTGTGTTGAATACAATCAATACAGACTGTACAAGTTAATGCATCGTCGTTAAATAGTGACTAGCAGTAACAGTATAAAATTACGATTAGTATTCACTTTAATCGAGAATTGTTCTATATCGGGAAACAGAACCCCGTTCTTCTGCGGCAACTTCTCCGACTTTGGAGTTACGCGTGAACTATAAACAACGTTTTGCAGGCGTTCACTGCTGACAAAGTATTTCTATTTACAAAGATTATCAAAACTGCTTACAAGTATTGAAAGCGTGGATTGTAGTCCTATTGAGTTCTGACTTCGTGCAGGACTGTAGGTTGTTACCGACGTTTCGGAGGAACGTTTCTCTTCATCTATATAACTACACGGCGTATATCGTATATCACTGGTAAACGTAATTCAGACATTTCGCCACATGACATATTAGTTAATCCTTTTTAAGTCCTCACTCCTGAACGAAATGGAATTAAGGCAGGTCTAATGTTCCCCAAACTGAAGACTTCCAGATGGGAGCAAGACATTCAAAGAATTTTACACAGATAAAGCTCTCCCAATATATGCAGAAATCCCGTAATATTTTCTTGCAATGCTTACAAGAGCAATCGCAATTCAGTATTAAACCTCGACCCGACACAGTAATACTTCTAGATGTCTTCCGCTAGACACGTCATGTCTCTATCAACTCATCACCGACTAATATTGAACATCAGATGAACCACGCCATATATAAAAAACAATACCTTCGTTCTAATATATAAGAGTAATCTGATAAGAACATTTTCAACAAACTGCATAACATTGTAAAGGATTGTAATTCGAGTTTTAAATTTTACCAATCTAATTTATACCTGAGGACGGTTAAATATAACCGAAACATGTCGTAAGAGACGTTCCAATTTGTAAATCGATCATTCGATGCGGAACGTGAAATGATATTTTAAATATTTTATATATTTTATTATCTTATTAAAATTGTGATTTGACGGAAAATATTAAAATATTACAAGGATTAAGAAAAATAAATAATCAACGTAGCCCAGATGGAACGTGGCGGAAACCTGTCACTAAACTAAGGAATTCTCTGTTCGATCATTTAGTAAACACACAAATTATACCACAGAAAGCATAGCATAACGAACTTACAAGACGAGGCATTCAAAACATACATGGTCATTTCCTGGAATATAAAGCAGAGGGCAGCACTTGCCTTGAGTAGCGACCACATTCCTCCACGATCTCGATGCCGCCCTGCGCCGTGACGCGAGGGTAGTTGCAGCGTCGGAACGAGCTGAAGTAGGCGTCAACTTTGCCGAGAAGACGACCCTGAAACGGAGAGACAGTCATTGAAATACATGAACTAACAATCCAACCGAGCACTTAACTACATTAACAACGAAGTACGTCCATTCTTGGTTAGCTATTTGTTTATTTAAAGACTTTTTTCAGCTATACTAGCAAGCCATTACGAACTTTGCCAGACATCTGTTCAGACCTGTACGTAGATACGTCATATTAAGGCATCATCCTCCATTCTTAATATTTATCATTCGAAGCTATGTGGCATGTCAAGTTGACAAACCGTCATTAACATGTTTTAATTAAGATTAAATGGGGCAGATATGTATGTAAAAATCGAAGAGAATTCAAAAGATTAGAAACAGGAATGAATCAAATTTGTTCTTCAAAAATTGTAGCCCATATACGTCATTACTGTTCCAATCACTAACAACGGCTTTTGTGGATGAGGCCATTTTTATACGTTCTTCGCAGCTCAACAAACATTGGAACAAAAAACCTGGCGTCTGCGTGTCCGCAGATTGTAAGATAAAAGAGCTCAAATATTTGTAAACCCGTTCCTTCCACCTCAGCGGCTACCATCTGAGTTGGTCTAGCTGTTACAACTAGCGATAATCCTACCTACAAAAATATGAATCCTATTTGTGAAATTTATTCAGAAAACTGTGGACTCTATGAATACACGCTGCATCAGGAGTTTTGTCGACAGCAGGGGCGGAAAAAAATTATACTATTCAAAATTCTACACTGTGGTTCTTTCAACATTTTTTTTTTCCAACCGGAAAATTATTCTTCTATCTCGCAGACGGATTACGCACAGGTTACAAAATATAAAACGAACAACAAGGTCAAACCTTCATACTCTGTAGTTTCAATCACATACGTGCATACAATAGCGCTCTCTAATAAAAACGAAAAAATATTTACACAGTAAAAGAACAATACAATGACTAGTTTATTTGGTAACACCTGCCTTAATCTCTTCCGAGCTTAGCTTTTAATTAGAATAATTTATTTTTTACTGTGCGTTCATTTATTTGTTTGCAGTTTATTTAACGACGCCTTTTTCAGTAGCTCAGACCATACAGCGTCGAATTTCAGTGAATAACGAATTGGAAAGGACGTGAAATGAAGTGCCTGTGGCCTCATTTAAGAACTATCCCGGAATTTGCCTGGATGAACTGAGGAAAATCACGAAAAGTCTAAATATTATAGAAGGTCTCCGAGCCGACATTTAAACCCAGGACCTACCAAATACGAAGCAGGGGTGTGTGTGGAAACGCGATAATCGTCCTGATCATGGCGTTAGTAAGCACCTCCGAAATGTCGGTCAGTTTGACTACACGGCGCAACGTCCCAGAAAACAATTTTCTTACTAATTTCAATGACTATGTAGGTTGCTGCCCTGCATAGAATTTCAGGGAAACAGTGCCACAATTATTACATCACCCCTGATAATAAAGGCAGTAGTATCGAAGGGACAATCTAAGAGATATTATTTTTTCACACTGCCGTGCCCGAATTTATAACTTGTGTTGGGCAAGGCCGTGGTCTAGGCAACACGGAGTTTTCCTCCGTGGCATCCCAACAATTACTCCATTCACACACAGAAGAAGGCAAGGGCAAACCACTTCTGGATCATCTGCCAAGAAAGTATATGAACAGGTCCCAGTCCGAGAAAAAGATGGAAGGATCCTGTTCATATGGACCTGTCATCAGACAGAACACTAAATAATATCCGAACAGACACTAAATAATTGGTGGTTAGCGGAAGCTCGAAGTGGATTAAGACGGATCGTTCGGTCTCATTAGCCTGCTAATAGTGGCAGCACTGGTTTGTTCCCTCAGACAAGAGAATGGCCGTCAAACCAGCCACTTTGTTTCTAAATATTCCCCCAACAACTTTTATGTATGCGTGAATAAAATATGCAACCTCATAAATCTACCTTACTCCATGCAGATTTGAAATTCAAAAGTAAAGACTGTGTACATAACCAAAAACATGTTTCATGTGTTTCAAATTTAGAGTTGCCCAGCCTGGATTGTTACGCCAAAAAGAGAAAAAAAAATCGACGCCTACGCTGCCGTCAGAAGCTCAAATCTCAGAAGCATTAAAAACAAAACGACTGTGTCATCGTGATGATTCCTGTCAGAAAAAGATCACACCACTCCACACGTACCAAAAAAAACCCTCCTATATTTAGTGCGAACACTGTCAACGCGTGAAGATCGATTTTATTCATTTGAGAGAGAGACAGTTCGATTTGTGTGCCCTGAAATATCTGCCTATGGGATCAGAGCGCTGGGACTGGCGTGCTCATGAAGATGCTTCACGTTTTTAATTAGTTTATAATTACACGCCCTTATACTCGTGTAATATGACAGCCTCGGGACAGACATCTGCCGGTGACACTGGGAACATCTTCTGAAGCAGACACAACTCATCTGTAATTATTTGCTACGGGGCTCGATCCGTCGTTTCTGAAGTGCACATAATTACACGACGTTCTTTACTGACGTCTAAGCACACTTTAGTCAACGTTTCTGTCCGAAGTACAAAACATTCAGAGCTCACATGATTTCGATATTTCGAGGTTATGTCACGAGACTTTTAAGTAGATTCTTTGTTTTCGCTTTTTAAAAATGGTTTGTGAAACAAAAGCTATTACTTCAAGAGAGAAATTTAAATTTCAAAAAGAAAGTTCTGAGCAAAACGGGTAGACTTACGCGGGACAAGCTTGTTGAGATAATATATTACGTGAAAAGGAACCTCATAAATTGTTTATATCACCCAGCATTTTTGTGCTTATGTAAGCATACCAGAAATGCCTAACCTGTCTGAAAATGGCCACCTGAAAGACCAAAAAGATGAAACTATAATAATATTAAAATGGACGTAATGAAATACGTTCTGAAAATGGGAAGTAATCAGAAATTTTCAATGGCGGGTTTGAGTTTAAAATATTAGCGGCTGTGTACTTTCAGGTATTACAATTGTATATTAGCCATAAAACACAAAAGAATGCTGATATATATACTTTTACAAATGAACGAATACTTTATCTTAAAAGTATCAGAGGATACAGGACAGTAACACTGATTATTCTGAAGAACAAAGAAACGTTACCTTTAGACACAAGACAAAATTAAACAGCATAAATACTTTTTTATCAAAAGAGGAAACTGTTTACTGAAAACGACTGTACATCACTAATTGTACCTTTACTATAAAACAAAGGAAAACAGTAAATAGTTTATACACAAAACCGTTCTTTTCGTCTTTGTAAATCGTTTAAATTATAAAACGACGTTTCGGAAGTTGGACGCTGCTTCCCGTCTTCAGGTAAAAAAAAATCATCCTATCTGATGGGGTCCCTGGTTGAGCTGGTAAACGTTTGAGGCTTCACGTAGCAGACACCACCTACAATCCCAGTTCCCATTACTAAAAAATTGTAATAAGACCATCCATTACACGCGTGGAGATAAAAAGTCACAACGAAACCGGCCCGTTTTATGTGCCCTTCCTACCAGAGCTAATAAAACCCGCAAGAGAAGGAGTTATGACACTGTACTTTCATCAAATAAATGTTTCGCCTATAAAACAGTTCACGTGCAACATAGAAAGATCTCTGGGTTTGTTTCACTATAAATAACAGTGTCTCACTCCCTCACTTCGCCACAGATACGGTTGATCTGCCCATTTACGATAACAAAATTGTATTTCTTCTACACAACCCATCACTGAAAATAGAGAGAGAGAGAGAGAGGAGAAGGTAGCAAATAACAAACCTATAATTCTGTTTCTGTCGTCCTTCAGCTATTTGTCCAGAATATACAAGAAAATGGATTAGGAAATTCCAATTTCGTTCTTCTCCTCTCATTCGCTGGAGCTACAATTTCTACCACACATAAAACCACCCTCTCGCGGAAAAAAAGAGAAGAAAATCTCATTTCAGCCGTATTCCTTCCTCCCTGTCTACAGCACCTAAAAGGAGCTGCAGCCCCTGGAGATCACAGGAAGTATGCAGAGAAAACATCAAAGCACAAGACAGAGACCAAGTGTTAAAGCGAACTGCTTCGAATTACATCAGGCTGCCACGCGACTTGATCAACTGCAACCGAGGGTAGCACTGCTGCTTCGAATTCATGAGGTTACCGGTTCAAATCTCGTTTCGAAGGCCAGATATCCTGACTGAATTATTTCGTGGTTTTCCTCAATCCGTGCACTCAAATTTCGGCATGGTACTACTTTCAAATAGGCCATACGCCCGCTTCTCTACGAGGTGCGATCGGAAAGTTTCAAGACTGCGCCTATAAAAACCCGTACACTTATCTCAGGTATTAAATTCATCCATCACCCTCGAAGTAGTTCCCCTGGGAGTGAACACAACGATCCCAGCGCCGCT